AATTACAAAATAAATGTAATTGTTGGTTTTACTTTATCTAAATCTTTTATCAAAATGGTCAAATTTAATTAATAAGAATATATAAAATATTATTATATAGAGTAAATAAAAATGTTTGGACTCATTTATAAAACATGGATCATTTCATTCAATCCGATTTATAGGTTCGTTTGAGATTCAAAATGATTAAATCTCTTCTTACATTTCTCATATAATTTTTTGTATATATATAGGGGTAAGTTCATTTGTTAACCAAATTATGGTGTTAACTTTATGAACTAATCATAACCGTTGATTTTTAAAATATAGGGTTGAGATTAATCATATTATAAATTTAACTTATTACCCTTATAATCTCACAAACATATATGAACATAGTAACTCAAGGGTATTTATGTAAAAAAGAAGGTGCAATCAATATCATCGGTTACAAATAGTAGAAATCGTATATGTTCAATTGTATTCATAATTGCCACGAGTGTTCATATATGTTCAATTTGTGTTCATAATTGCCACAAGTGTTCATATATGTTCAATTTGTGTTCATAATTGCCATAAATGTTCACATATTTGTTCAATTGTATTCATAATCGTCACAAATGTTCATATATATCAATTTGTGTTTATGATTACCAAGACACTTACTTTGATTATTTACTTCGCTTTGTAAAAAAGTTGATAAATAAACAAAATTCGAGCAAAATCAATTCAATAAAAAAAACAATCATATTTTTCTCAATAATTTGACATTCATATTGTTACGTACTTCTTCATCCGTTTTTTATGACTTTCCGGTTTTTTATTTATTTAGCGTTTTTTAACCTGTACAGACACACACACACACGCACACACACACACACACACACACACACATATATATATATATACTATATTATAAAACATTTGGCTAAAACTCTTAAAACTCTTAAAAACTCTTAAACCCGTTCATCCCTATCCGATTTCATCCCATATCTGAATTTGTGTAACTAATTGCAGATAAACACAATCAAATACAGGATAAACATCTCATTTTAAAAATAAAAAATCTAAAATATAATTAGTATAATCATTAAATTCTAACAAAATAC